ACCGCAGGAGCTGCTCTTCGAGTTCTCCGAGATGAGACATGCTCCAGTCGGCTCTGCGCTCATCCCATCCTGTGGCTGCTCTGGTACAACCCAACCACCACGGATATTAACCTTAAAAGGAGCGAAAAGGTTAGGCTTACAGATGGAGGGTCTGCTCCTCCAGGTGCGAATCACAGGGACAGCACCTTACGCCACATAAACGAACTTAATGAAAACCATGGAGGATGAGCAAAGCCCCGTGACCCCTGAAAGGACTCTTCAGCGAGTTTTTAAAGTGTCTGAACAAGTCAAACGTCACCGCCATTTTTTAACCAACCGCTTCCCATTTTTCCCATTCACTATATTGAATTTCTTAGGAAGTATACTTTTAGGCTCCAGTTTCTCTCATTCTAAGCTTAAATTGCTACTAGAGTAAACAGCCTAGGAGAGTCTCCCTCACAGGAGATGTCTAACATATTGTTATCATTTCAGAACTAAATGCTGGGTTTCTGGACAATAAACAGTTTGAGCACAGAGAAGGCATTCAGTTCATTAATTCAGTTAATTAGTATTCAGCTATCTGGGGATACGAATAGACACGGCAGCAAGTCTGCAGGCATAAATAAGATAATCAACGCGAACTCTTGAGAAGCAGAGTGATACAGCTGAGAAAAGTTCTGCAACCAGTCGAGGTGGCCTCAGTCAAGCTTTCCAACCTTTTTGAGCCTATCTTCTCTTTGATTCACTCAACAAACATGTATAGGATACTTGGTATGTGCCCACTTCTGCTGTGCCACTGGAAACACCTGTAGAAAAACAAATAGCTACCATCCAAAATGATCTTAACGGATAGATGGACTATACATATGGGTGGAATATATATTGATATGGAAGTACACGGAGAATGGTGGGTGCTCAAAAATGGCCATCTCCATTCCCGTATCTGACATCTGACTTGTGGTCGAGTGTCTTCCCGTGTACGTAAAACTGCCAGTGACTGGCTATCGTTTTTCTCCAAAGAATAGAATGGTAAAAACCTTCTACGCCTGAACCCTTCAGGTCTGCCCTAGTTCCTAATAGGAGCCCTCTTATCTCCTAAGGACTCCTCTCACTTCACTTCTTTCAAGTCATTAGATCAAAAATCGTAAAAGGATAGATTACCAAGAGACCAACGCCCCAAGTCCCAGTTCCCAACTTAATCATATCGTTCACCTAAAACATCTGACCACATAAAGATTCCCAGATCCTATACCAGACCTAATGGATGAGAGCCACAAATACCCCACCGGAACACACAGCCCTACAAGCCTCAGGGCATTCTTCTCTTATCAGGAAGGCTTTAACCTGCAAAGGGCTGAGGTCATTCTCCTCCAGGTCCTTCCAAGACGTGCTCTTCGACCCTTTCCCCATGGCTTAGCTCAGCACTGAACAACTCTGCCCTGTAGTCTAACAGAACCGGCTCTCAGCTGGTCCTCAAACATCTAAGCAAGACATAGTTGAGGGAAGAGTGGATTTAGTCCTTTAATATCTCCCTTCTAGAAGTTTACTATAAAAGGTATTTAAAACAACCAGAAATCTCTAAAAATTTACCTTTTCAAAAAATTCTCATTTGTAATTCCTAAACTGATTCCAATGCACAAGCAAAAACAAACATAATTAAGAGCCATACTTTTAGGGGATAAAAATAGAAGCTACTTGTTCAAATTTTCTGAGTCAATTAACAATCTAATAGACATGAAAAAAAGTCTATGTATTCTCCGGGGAACTTCCATTTCTTTAAAGTAGCAATAAATGAAAAGCTAGGTTTACATTGAAGATGATTCATACCTTTGTTTTAGTTTGTTTAATTAAATATTTACTAGATAGTTCCCCATTGTATGGAGGAAAAGACCAAAAAAGAAAACTGCGGAAGCACAAAAATGTCTCTAACATGACCCATACTTCAGAGATTAAATTCAGTGAAAGGTATACTGACTGAGTGCCCAAGGGAAGATCCTAAGTGAAAATGGCACATTCAACCTGGAAATCCAGACATCCAACCACTGAGCCATCCAGCCATCCAATGAGCATTGGCCATGTAGGCACCAGGAGAGACCCTAAGTTAAATCAGCCATCATCCCTACACTCAAGTAAAGGGGACACGCAGGGGACAAAGGACAAGAGTCCTAAAAGTATAAAGTGCTAGATGGAAGTTCGGAAAATGATAAATTATATCAAATCAGGGCTCTGGAACACAAGGAGGGTGGACAAAAACGAATGGGATGCTATTTTCTTTTGAGTAGGTCAAAAGTCAATAAAGAACATTCTTAAACACACGGTCATAATTCTTGCAGTCTCTCTCGGATTATAGAGACCGTGACTCTCAGTATCTTTTGATATCACTTGGTAACAATCTGACCTCTAGAGAAACTTGTAGGCCACAAAAATGACCAGGCATGTTATGAAAGTTCACGTAGGAGAGGACTATCAAGTGGTTTATATATACAGCAATATATATTTATAGCAATACTCACACAAACTCAAATTACTCTCACACCCTTGGAACTTCACGCTCACTCCCCCAGAGTTCGGGAGTAGATAGCACGCACTTTATGGTAGTGGGTGGCATGTAATTTCCCCATAACTCTTTGTATATCAACTTAACTATATCTCCCCATGAGAATTTGTATCTGATATTGTCAGTATTCCCAATTATATGCTTTACACCCGCGGTCTTAAGCTTTATATCCCATCACTTAATGAAAATCTTGCCCTATCTTTTGGTAAAATAATCCAACTAAACTCAACATCGAACATCCCAGAAGCAAAAATAAGTAACTAAATAAAATCAGCACTTAGAGGGCAGCAATGACTGTGCATTTATGAGATCTAGGGCCAAGTTTAGGTAAGACAGACAGAACGCTCCTTAATGTGCTTACGCAGGCTAGGGAACTGGAGAACTTTAGCATCTCATGTACTTCCAATAAGAGTACTAAATGAGACAGCTTACACCATTTCTCTTCCGTGAAAATCGAAGTTTTCCTCAAGTACTAAAGATGGCAAAAGTGAATGAAATGTGTTAAGGTCTAAGAAAAGTGGCAGGAGTAAATGCACATTTTCTCCTTGACTTCTAGATGACATTGTGAGATGCATGACAGGCTGCCTTTCTGTGCTTACACGGTCTAAGGATATTAATCAACTACCGATTCATCTAAATATTAAAATTCTTTTTCCCCCTCCAGAGAGCTACTGCTTTTGAATAGTTTCCTCTTAAATGCAAGTCAGTTAACAAACTAAGAAAATTCTGATCTCCATAAAATGACCTAGGGAAATCTCCATTTATATTGCAATAAAGGATGAGAAAAATAGTATTACTTACCTCCATACCTGTCTGGAGTGGATGAAAGGGAGCAAATAGATTGGGTGGGATAAAGCTTCAACATGAGATTGTTTCACTGTCATAAGGTATGCGATTAAGGGACCAGCAGTTGGTGTAATGGCTATGTTGCTGGACTCCCATTTAGTCGACTGCGGTTTGAGTCCTGAACCTGGTGGCTTAAACTCACACCAGGTGCTTGTGTGTGTGTGTGCCCAAGATCCCGAGAGTAGAATGGAGGAAAAGGGATTGCGGTGTGACCATCCCCCCTACGGGGTGATTTCTCACTTTCTGTCTGTCTGTCTGTCTGTCTCTCTCTCTCCCTCTCTTTCTGGTGGGTACACACACCCTATAGCAAAAACCTCTCAAAAAAAAAAAAAAAGACATACAATTAAATTTTACCATTTTAACAACTTTAACCATATAGTATCATTATATGTATTCATAATCTCATACAACCATCATTGCTTTTCATTTCCAGAACTTTTTTTTTTTTATCCTCCCAAACAGAAACTCTGTACCCATTAAAACCTATCTCCCCATTCTTCCCTCCCCCTAGTACCTGGCAACCTCTATTCCACTTGCTATCTCTATAACTTTACCTATTCCAGGTCCCTTACACAAGAGGAAAAATACAAATATACAATCATTTTGTGTCTGGCGTACTTCACTTAGCATAGTATTTTCAAGATTCATTCATGTTGCCGTAGGTATCAGAATTTCATTCCTTTCTACAGTCGAATAATATTCCATTATATGTGCATACTGAATTTTGTTTGGCTAAAATGAAATTTGTTTCATCTGCTGATGGGCACGTGCGTTATTCCCACCTTTTGGTTATTGTGAATGAGGCTGTAAATACAGGGGTACACAGCAGAGAAGGGCCAACTCTGACCCCGAAATAGTCAACAAGTACTGGAAAACCTTGTCTCGGCAACTGGGTCTAAAAAGGAAAATACCTGAGGGTTTTTTGTTTTTCTCCCCCTACGATATGGTCTCGCGGTCTCCATTTAAAATGACAGGCTCACGCCACCTCCTATGCCAGCCTCAAGCTCATGAACTTCCTGTTTCCATGTCCCCAAGTCACTGGCATTACAGGCACAGGTTGCCCACACTCGGTCCTTAGATCGGGCCCCATCAAACCAGGGCCTCCCACGTGGTCCCAACTTGTGGCGTGTAGCATTTTTGCAGCCCAGCACAGCAGCTGGGTCTAGTCTCAGATACTTTAAAAGGAATGGATTCTTATTACTGGTAAACTCATATGGCACTGGAACTAAGCTTCCCAGCTGAGTCTTGCTTTAGTAAAAGTAAAGGAGGGGTGTGCGTAATTAATTCATCTAATCTTAGACTTTCCACGATGATGCCGAAAGGCAGAGGCAGGAGGAGATGGGCAGCTACAGGCAATAAGGATGTCTTTAACCCTCAACACCTGATCTGACCAACTGCCAGCGAGTGCTTGCAGGTGACAGACGAGATGAACAACTAGCAGAACAAATGTCAACAGAGAGACTCCAAAAGAAGTAAACAGGCATAATTTGGAGTCTACTGGTGGACTGAAGTGGGGGGCAGGGTAGCAATGGTGCCTGCCACTCTGACTTATTGTATATGCAAGTCATACAGTTCTAAATGTGGCCGGTAAACTGTTTCTTGTTCATTTACTTCATAGCAACCCACAAAGCATACCAACCTCCCAGCGGCTCCTGTATCTCTGCGAAAAGCCTGGCAGTAGAACCAGCTACAACTCATTCTTCACTTTCACACTGCGTTTCAATAAACTGATTTTCCCCCAGCTGCTTAAAAACGGTTTGTCCTCTTAATTAGGTAAATATTCTCTTATGAGCTATTTAAACCTCTCATATTTATAGTAAAACCTTTTCATATAGAATGAAACCAAGCTTTAGCCTAGCCTTGCCTGGATGATTGCAAATTACTAAATAGTTACATGCAGGCAATGAAGATATTTTTAATGGAGACTCTTCTTTCCCAGACCAATTAAATCATTTTATTTCCAAAGATTTAAGAATCTTCAATTATTTTTCAAATGTACTATATTTTTTCATGTGTAAAGACCGTTTTCTAGAAAACCGTTTCAATAGAAAGCTTTTCATAATTGTGAGTTAGCATTACAGCAACTTAGTTTAACTAAACTTTTCTGACTCACCTTCCTAAGAATCTTTATTACTTCTTGCAGGGTCAAAACAAGGATGTATCCTTACATTCTAATATAACTTGGAATTCTTGAATTCTAATAAAAATTTAGTTTTATGCACAGCCTCAAGGTGCTTCAATTTTAATATTTCTCAGTTTCAGAAGACAGCAGAGAACTGAAGTTGCAGTACAGTTTTTGGTGTTTGTAGTACAGAGCAAAACGACAAATAAACCCTAACTCCATGTAAACAAAAGAATGTTACTGCTAAGTTAAAAACCATTGCAGCATCCTCTTTTAATAAATTAAATGGCTGAGAATAATGCTTTTACTGATTTCCACAATTTTCCCTTAACCCTATTTTAATATTTCACTTCTATTTAACATAAGCTAGAACATTAAAATTCTGTTGGAGATACTTGTGGAAGAAGCTAATGCTGGATTCAGATTATACATGATGAAAAAAATAAACCAGACTAAAACAGCACTAAAAAGAAAAAGATGAATTGAAGTTGCTTTGTTCTGCCCTAGGAGTTTGGTGTTAGAAACTGCTGTCTGTAAAACAGCCAAAAATATGAGTAAAAGACCACTATTTGTGAATAAGGGAGGGGAAAAAGCCTCACCTTCACAAAAAAATAAGTTGAAACATAGTAGCATATTCCATTAACAAAGAACCTAGTCCAGACTTCAATAAATGCTTCTGAGTTGATAAATGAATAAAGTAAAATTATATCTTAAACTCAATTTTAAGACATCTTTTTAAAGAATTACTTGTTAAGTCTATTTATCATTGTTATTATTTTTTAGTTTGCTACAAGGCTCATATGCTTACTAGAGAGAGAGAAAGAGAGGGAAATTAAGAATGCAAGTCTCCAGGTCCAGGACTGGAACCGTGGTCAGCCATGTGTGAGTCCACCGTCTTAACCACCATGCCACCTGTTGGCCTCCAGACAGGAGACATTTTAAACACTAATAGTTACTAAAATATCAAGTCACAGTAACTTTGTCTCAATACCATCTCACGAAAATCTTTTTCCTCTCAGTTATTTAAAACTGATGAGGAGTTTTAATAAAAGTATAGAAACAAAACGTAATAGGAGCCAATGCCTGAGCTGACAGTAAGTATAGCCAAGGACCTCAGAACTTCCGGTCCGCCACTTCTGGAGCGTACATGTGCATATCTCGATAGTTGACAAGAAAAATAAAGGATTCAAGGATTGACCCACTCTCACACTGAGGCATCTCCTCGCCTACAGATGACCTTGAATCAGACCAGACTGGCCTGTCCCCTACAACAATGCTAGCCTAGCTACCGGCCAACGTCCCAGAAACTTCCCAGAAACGTGGGGATGGAATCACTGACGTGCAGTCAAACTTTTGAAAAGTTGCCAATCACCCAGTCATGTGACACGTCACAATGTAGTGGCGCAGTGCACCGCACACCTAAGCTACATGACAGTCTGTTACGCTCCTGTGGGACCGTCTCACATATGGTTAGTCACTGACCAAAACATCGTCATGCAGCACATGAATGCATCCCATTATGAATGGAGAGGAAAGAAAGCACAGCAATGTGGGGCCAGCCCATGGCATGGTGGTGAAGGTGGACAGATTCCCACATAGCCAGTCTCACAGTTCAAGTCCCAGACCTGGGGGCTTGAGTCCGCATCAGGTGTGTGTGCACGCATGCCCAAAGCCCCTAAGGAAGGAGAAACCGAGAAGGGATTGCAGCGTGAACATTCCCCATTAAGGGAAAGGTTTTCTCTCTCTTTCCCCCCAACAAGTACATGTGCCTTCTGGCAATTTTTTATTCCCCATTAAGGGAAAGGTTTTCTCTCTCTCTTTCCCCCCAACAAGAACGTGTGCCTTCTGGCAATTTTTTTTCACTTTTTTTTTATCATCCTCATAATCTTCTTTATCTTACATTGGATTACATATAACTTTACAGTGTATTACATTGCTTTTTCAAAAGGGAATGCCATGCATGTCAGTCAGTACAGAGACATTAATCTCCCCACTTCATTATCCAATATCTTTTCTATGTTTTCCCCAATCATTATTATTATTCTTCTAATTATTTTTTTAAACAGTCAATCACTATTTCTCATTTTGCTTGTAAAAAGACTTTGCCCATCATGAAATACTTCTCAGACCAATCCAGTTGAGAATACTATACATGTCATCATCAACAGGTAATAAGCCATATCTGTTTCTCACTACCGTCCTGCCTCTCTATTGTTCTCTTGCTATCTTTCTCAATCCTCTTCTCTTCACCCCCCATTCCACACTGCACTATTCTCATTAAGTACCTGCACTGCTTTTATGTCCTCCAATTGTTCGCTCTCTACCATAGAGTGCGGATAGTCGGTATATATTGAGTGGATACATACAAGATCTTTCTTTCATAGCCTGGCTCACTTCACTCAGCAATAGATCCTCCATACTGACCACTTTCTATCAAATGCCTTCTGGCAATTTTTAAAAAACTGTTTTGCAAACTATCTAAACACAATTCAGAAGGGCTCTGAAAATATGTACAGTAATACTACAGGACCAGTTCGGCTTTCAACTTTAGGATCGAGTGAACTACTGTACTGAGTTTGTTCAAGGCTTCGACCAACACTTTCCAATATACTGACTTATAATCCTTTGTGAAAACCTTGACAAAGTTGAGGTGAGATGTTTTCTCCTTTTATTAAAATGAGGAAACCCAGGTTAAGAGAGGTTCAAAACCCTATCACAGACACATGTCTGAATAGTAAAACCACTCTCTGACAGAACACATTCAGACTTTAAGCTGATACACACATGTGGCCCTCGACCCTTGCCTACCATTTCAACATCTTCATTTTGTAAGATTATAGTAAACTTTTCATTTGTATTAAGATCCCTATGTCGTACAAATCAAACCATACATCATGAGCTATATCGTGTTTCCTCTAAATGCCACACTCACTGAGACATTCTAATTCTATTTATAACAAGGTTCTTATCCTGGTTCCCTGAAAATAGTGCAGGTAAAAATAGCCTGTCTCAACTACCTGCACGGTCACTGCTGATGCCTCACCTGCAACTGAATTCACAACGCTTGCAGCTGGGGGCAATGTAATCCACGAACACTAAGACAGAACTTTAAAGCTGATTTACTGACCTAAGTCCTTCAGGATGTTACAATGCTTCAGAGTCAGGATTATGAACTGCCATTATCCCTGGACAGTACTAAACTGTGCAAAGTTCAGCAGATTCACATATATTTATACTGAACCTGGAAACTGCCTCTTAAAAATCCTAATAAAAAAAAGATTACTTTATCATTAGTCTTTTCCTGAAGGCATAGTATTGGGGAGAAAAAGGGACTGGGTGATCAGATATTTGTGCATGAAATTCAGTCCAGATCAATGAATGCTTCCTTTGACCCGAATTGGAATTTCCGCTACTTCACACAAAATCAGAAAGTTGTGACATTCCTCTTTACCAAGTGAACCACCGTAACGGATTTAAATTAAATCTGCTAATCAGAAAACTATTTGACCACCTACCATTTAAAGGATCTTGGTTTTAATCTTACATATTCCTTCCAATGGTAGATTTATCAAGTGTTTAATATTTGAACTTCATACTTGGATAATAAAACAATGATTTTAATTGTTCACATTAATACTGCCACTACATAAGGTGCGTGACGATTTACCTGACACGTATGAAGTCACCTGATCACAACCGCTCAGTGAACAGGTGAATCTAAACATGAGGGGGTCCATTGTTTTTTCTTTTGCAATTCTTAATTAGTGACTTTCTATACTGGTTCCTATTAAAACTCCTTTAAAATAACCAACAAACTCTCCTTTTTCAATAATTCCATATGTAATTATTTCCACCAAATAAGAAAATGTCAAAGGAATCTCTCTTGCTGAAAGATGAAAGCGTCTGTCCACCAGTGTTAACTATGACATGTAATCTTAAAACATAAATAAAGGGCTTATTTTATTCACTCTTCAAGCGAGAGCAAGTTGAGCAGTAGCTAAACTCAGCCCGTGCATTCCACCTGAGGTCGGAATCGAAGCATCCTCTGGTGGTATGGAAAAACTGGACCAAGAAATCTAACAAGCACTATGACCCAGTTACACGTGAATAGATTTAGGGGTCAGAAAGTTCTACATTGCATTCTTCAGTAAGGTAACCACAATTCACAGCGGCAACTGGGGCTTAAAATGATGAAATAAAATCTAAAATGCAGGTCCTCAGTTGCATTAGCCACTGTTCAAATGCTCAGTTACAGCTGCCTGGACAGCACATTCAGAACCATTCCCATCATGGAAGGACGTTCTAGTGGATAGAGCCTTTGGAAGCTGTGTGATCTTTTGCAAGTTACTTAATTTCTGCCAACCTCAATGCCCTTACTTGGAAAATGTGCCTAATACCACCGACTGCAAGGCTGTTAGAATTTTAATGAGATAATGTACAAGAAGCACAGAAGACTGCTTCGCACACAGGAGACGTCTATGAAAGAGTAGCTATTAATACCACCTCGACTGGACTCTGAGCTCTGCTGGTCACCCTGAACAAGTCACTGTCCCCGTCTGGACCTTATTCTCCTACACGGAAAAGATTGGGAAGCTCTTCTGATTAATGTCTATGGCCCTCTTGAACCTTACCATATTTAATGAAGTTTTAACCAAAAGGGGTGCAAGCACTT